TAGAACTACGTGTGACATTCGTGGCCACAGCAGTGGGAAAGGAAGTGACATTTGCTGAGAACCCACCATGAGCCAGGCGCTGTGCTGGAGTCTCCCTTTACTGATTTGCTTATCCCTACTGGTTTGATGGCTTCAAGTTCAACCGTCCTGTGTTGAGCCCCTGCTGTGCACTGGGCAGTGTCCTGCCCTCGTGCCTCCTGTTTCTGGGGTCTGCATTGTTTCAGAGCAGTAGGCACACCTACTTTCCTGATAAGCCTGGTATGTGTGTCGGGGATGGGGTTTTGCACGGCAGGGGCGTTTGGGACTTCATGCTGTGGGCGGACCTGGCCGCCGGCCAGCCTGGCTTCTCAGTTACAACCTGTTTGGCCAGGGCACCTTAAAATCAACAGCCATGGGTTTCACTGTAAGAAAAGGGGTTGACTGAAAAAAATAAAATGCTAAAAAGACATGTTAGGTAAGAAAGGAGGAAAGTCCTGGGGCTGAGAAGGAGAACTGGGTCAGGGGCTGGGACTACAGACTTAGTAGTGAAAATAATTATTTACAAAGAAATGCCCTGGAGGGAGAGATTGAGCAAGTGGTTTCTTTTGGGAGCCTGTGAGTCTCCTTTCCCAACTTCCATCAGAATCGTTGGAGTTTGGAGCTCTTTGGAGCAGCACCTTCCCTCCTGATGGAGCACACTGCAGTCAGCAGGCAGCACAGAGACCGGCACCTGCTCTGGTTGCAGGCTGGGCTGCCTAACAGCTTTCCAGTATCCTGTTAGCTATCCTGTTTTCTGAAATTCTTTCTTGACATTCTTGGACTCTGGATTTTGGCCTCTTGAGCACCCTGAATGCATCAACAGGGGCTGGAAGAAGAGGATTTTTGCGGTTTGCTTTTTTTTTTTTTTTGGTTTGTTTGTTTAAATGCAAACATGTGGTTTTCAGTTGGAGGCAGTGCGCCTTGAGCACCCTGAATGCATCAACAGGGGCTGGAAGAAGAGGATTTTTGCGGTTTGCTTTTTTTTTTTTGGTTTGTTTGTTTAAATGCAAACATGTGGTTTTCAGTTGGAGGCAGTGCGAGCCGGATGGCTTGACTGCTCGGCAGCTCTGTTCAGCTGATGCATTGAATCTTTGGGAAGGAGGGACTAACCTCACCAGCCTGTGAAGGGAAGCCCCTGATCAAGGGTGGGACAGACACCTGAGACAACTCCCCAAGTGGATCTTTAGGGAGCAGGTACATAGAAGGCTGAGAAGACTCAGAGAGTTGTTAACGTCACATTCACACATCAGGGAAAACCTGCAACTCCAAACCATACAAATGATTTGTGCATTGTAGGTTACTCCTTAAGTGACTACTCTGTGCTGAGGGGATGGAGGTTTGGGGTAAAGATAAATGTAACTCTGACTCTGCCCTGCAGAAGCCCAGAGACAGCTCATTATAACAAAGCAAGGATTGTGATGATGAGGCTGTAAGGGGATATAGGAGAGAGGGAAGTTCATTTCTACTGGCAGAACCTGGCATCAGCACCCACATCTGGATGAGTTTATTTCCCATTGGCTAAACAGTTAAACCCCTCTCTGCTTAACACCGGGATTTGCTTTTCTGTCCCACTGATGAAGGAATGTGCTTTTGAAAATCTGTGGGGAGAAGCATTTGGGATCCTGGGCTTGCTGACAGCTTGTTCAAAGAACTGGAGAGTAGGAAGAAAGATATTGTTCTCATAAATAGCAAAGCTTACCAGCCTTTACACCAAACAGGTCTATGTCCTTGTGTGGCAGTGGGGATCTGGGATAAATATTCCCATTTTATAGTTGAAGAAATTGAGGACCATAGTGGAAGTCAGCAGCAAAATTACAGCCAGACCAAGATTATTAACTCCCGTTTCAGTTCATTAAAGAATGCAAAGAATGTTATCTAGAAAAGCACATTGAGATTATATAAAAGGTATAATCTAAAAATATGGAAATAAAACATGTTACATAATATTCAAGTTGCATTCTACCTTCCACATTTCAAGAGAGGAGGAGGACTGTCCTTCAACGTGACTTTCAAAAATTGGCAAATGGGCCTAGAAAGGGAAGACTCTCAGTGGAGAAAATGAGAAGGGAGACCAGGAGCATAGGGAGAATTAAAATAGAGTAAATCATGCAGACTGAGTGCCCAGCACAGGCCTGGGGCATGGTAGATGCTCAGCAAGTGTGTGTTCCTTTCCTTCATTAAGACTCTCCTGAAGTTGGCATGGCCTCAGCACAGTCATGGTGGAGTAATGGACAATTAGGGTGTCACTCAGATATCTACAGATAATGACATATTTGGCTTTGGATTGAGACTCTCTCCAAAGCTTTAGCCTTATGATTTCTTTGCATGATATAATTATATAAGCCAGATTGGAAAATAAGTCAAAGAGACACATGGCTTTACTTCCTTCAGCATTCTTTTATTGCAAATCAAATACCTTGAATAGTTCCCTGCTTTTACCCCTATCATAGGGTATGAAATAGGATTGGAAACTTGGTGGAGGGGTGCAGGAAGGTAAATAGCACTTACTGAGCTTCTCCTATTAACCGGGAACTCTGTTTAGCACATGCGTATATCATCTTTTTCTGTTTTCACAACAGTCATATGGTTCTTATTCTTATTCACTTTTTATAGATGAGAAAACTGAGGATCAAAGAGGATTTTGCATGATCCAAGGTCATTTAACTGGAATACAATGAAATTGGGACTTAAATCTTATGCTTTTTATATTATTTTATGCTAACTTTAAATTTTTTTATTTAACTTTAAACAGCCTGGTTCTGTAATTAATGGCATCTGTGTGGAGTGCATGGTCATGGCCATTAGAAGAGAGAATAACATGCTGAGGGTGAAAGGAAAAGGAGAGAGTTCCACCCAGAACGATAATGATACTAACATTTGTATTGTGTGTCATGGTTTTCAAAAAACTTCATATGAATTCCTAATTTTATGGCTAAGAATACAGAGGCTCAGAATTTAATTAAAGGTCACATAGCCAATAAATGGCAAAACTGGGACTCAAACCCAGAACTTTTGACTTTGAATTCAATTCTATTACTCTAAAGTGCCTCTCCTGCATGGATAAGGGAAAGACTATGTTTGAGTTTAGGTGTGAATGCTCTGTGCACTTGGGTGCTCTGGCCAGACTGGGTGGGTCTTCTGATGTTCATCCATCGCTGGATGTCATTGAAGAGCCTGACTTTCTAAATGCTTCTTAGAATCACCAGGCAATACATGATTACTGACTGAATGAATCAATATACAGTGGGTCTCTGCGTTGTGCAAAGGCTTTGACTGTAACCTTTCATTGGGTTCCCTGAGTCACACAGACCCAGGAACAGAGAAACTTTCCTCAAGCCCCTCATTCTCTGGGTTTTCATGTAGAAAAGTGATTGAATCAATTAAAAACTTCTAGTTACAGGGAAGAAAAATTTGCTCTACTCAGTGCCTGATTACTATGTTTTTTTTGGCATGGTATGGAAAGGAAAGAGCCAAGACGTTCTGAAAAATAATTCTTTTGCGGTATCCTAGGCCAACTTCTTTCTTTAAGAGGATGCTGGGCCGGCCCGGTGGCGCACTGGATAAGTGCGCCGCTTGGGAAGCGC